TCCAAACCATTGAAATCTTGATATGATTCATACTAATCTTATTGATATAGTTCCTAGATAAAAAAAAGAAATGCACTAGATAAAAAAAAAAGAAATGCAACATTTAACCCAAATACTAGTGGGCTGTATCAAGTCATGAGCAGATGTTATTTGTGACTAATAAAACCTACAGATTCTCCTCCACCACGATGCTGTGAACACTAACTCCAAGGCCGAGGGACTGATTACCTCATCTTTTGTATATAGTTCTACTGTCTTCCTATAAAGATATCCAGATGTTGCACATGTGTCTTAACTTTCAAAACCTACTGTGTGGGCAAAATGTCAGTAAAAAGACTGCATTATGCTGCATTACTTTTTCTATCACGTCTGTATTTTATATTTCTCTTATATGGGTCAAAATAATTTATTATATACAATTATATATATAATAATATATATAATATATATATATATATATATATAGATATATATATAGATATATATTAATATAATATATATATTTATATATATATATATATATATATATTTATTTACTATTATATATAAATATATTTATATATATACTTAATATAAATATAATATATATATATATATATATATTTATAGAGATAAAATATATATAATATATATTTAATAAATATATATCTATAATAGATATATATAATATATATTATATATATATATATATATATATATATATAATAATATTTAATATATATATAAATACAGTGGACCCCCGCTTAAAACGTCACCTCCTAAGTACCAATTATGTAAGTGTATTTATAAAAGTGCGTTTGTACTGTATGGTTTGGGGGTCTGAAACTGGACTAATCTTACTTCCACAATTTTCCTTACGAACAAATTCTTTCATACTGGCACCTGAAACCATACTTTCGGAATGAAAAAATATCGGTAATCGTGGGTCCACGTATATATATTAATATATATATATAGTAGAATTCTATTCTCTGAGGATGAGGGTCCCCAGGACAGTGTCCAATAGGTTGGTACCTCCCAATATTTTATATATATATAATATAAATATATATATATATATAAATATATATAATAATATATATATATATATATATACAGTGGAGAAACCCCGTTAATCGATTTTTAATAATCCGTGCAAGAGGGACTCATCGTTATGCGAAATAATCGTAATGCGAGAATATTCCCCATAAAGAAATAATGGAAATAAAATTAATCCCGTGCAAGACCCCAAAAGTAGAAAAATATTTTTTTTTTTACCATACATGAATTGGTAATTTTAATACACACAAAACTGAAAAAGGCAATGCACCAATTACATGACACTTACTTTATTGAAGATCTGGTGGATGATTGATGGGATGGAGAGGGGAGAGCATTATCTACTACTGATTAGAAGGGGAAATCCCCTTCATTCCGACAGAGGTAGCAAGTCCTTTCCGGGTTTACTTCCCTTTCTTCTTTTTAATGCCACTAGGACCAGCTTGAGAGTCCATGGACCTGTTCAGCAGCAACAAATCTGTCCATTAGAGTCTCTGTACCTCCCGTTCCTTTAAAACGATTTGTCTAAAATGGGCCTCAACATTGTCATTTGAAATAGTCACCAAACGGCTTGCAACAGCTTGGTCAGGGTGATTTTCATCTAAAATTTGCAGTTCCCAACCCACTGTGCACACATTTCCTTACTCTTGTGTGAAGTAGCACAATGGATTCCACAACTGGCATAGCTTCTCAGGTTAGCCCCAAACCCTTCAAAATCCTTTCTTAATTTCCATACTAATTCTCCCCCTTTTTACCACAGGGTTTGGCACTTAACTTTCTATCTTGGGCCCATGGTCACTTATTTTCCGAAACAGCACCGAAAAACACTGTAATAATACGAATATTCCGAGTGTATGCTTGAATGTTACCGCGGAGCTGCGGTAAAACACTGGACGTACGGCACATGTGAGGCTGGCTGAGGGCACATGGACGCGCCTCGGACGAAAGCGGTAAGCCGGGTTTTTTAAATCGGTATGTGCGCGGCAAAAATTTTGCGATAAATAATTCGTAGCCGGAAAAAATCGCTATGTGATGCCATCGTTATGCGGGGGTCCATGTATATAGTATATATATATATATAAAATTAGGGAGGTAACCACCTCTAAACTGTCATGGGGCCATCCTCCTCAGAGAAAAGAGTTATCTATATATTATAAATATATATATTATATATATATATAATAATATATATATATATATATATATAAATATATATAATATCTATTATATTTATATATATATATATATAATTAATATATAATATATTATATATATATATATATATATAATGTGGTATAGGTTTTAACAGCAAACCACCCAGGAAGTACTACCGTCCTGCCAGATGACTGTGAACCATAAACCTGTAACTGTTTTACATGAGGTAGGATTGCTGGTTTTCTTTTTTTCCTGTCTCATAAACACGCTAAAGATAACAGGGATATCTGCTACTCCTACTTACCACCTTGGTCACTCTTCACAGACTCGCAACATGCAATATATATATACATGCATCTAGGGTTTTCTCCTTTTCTAAATAGCTCTTGTTCTTTTTTATTTCTTCTATTGTCCATGGGGAATTGGAAAAGAATCCTTTCCATCCGTAAGCCATGCGTGTCGTATGAGGCGCTAAAATGCCGGAGCATGGGCTAGTAACCCCTTCTCCTGTATACCTTTATAAAAAAGAGAAAAGAATAACTTTATAAAACGGTTCTTAAATGTGTCGTGGATGTAAGCGCCAGATGACAAGAAACAGATGATTGCTTGATTTATGACTGAAAAAGAGTGGATGTCCTGGCACTACAGCGAAACAAAGCTGAAGGGGGTAGGAAGTTCAGTGGGGGGAAATAATGGGATTAAATCTGGAGTATCTGAAGAGTTAGAGCAAAGGACGGGGTAACAGTATGTTAAATGATCAGTTCTGGAAGGAGAATAGAGAATATGAACAGAGTGGTAAAGTCAAGAATTATGTGGATTAAAGTAAAGGTTATGGATGCGAGAAGAGTCATATAAGACTGTATGCCATATATATATATATATATATATATATATATATATAATATATAAATATATCATATATATATATATATATATATATATATTATATATATATATAATATATGTATACTATATAATATATATATAAATATGTTATTATATATATATATAATATATATATATATATATATTATATATATAATAATATATATATATATATATATATATATAGAGTGGACCCCCGCTTAACGATCACTAACTCCTAATGTGGCCAATTATGTAAGTGTATTTATATAAGTGCGTTTTGTATGTGTATGTTTTGGGGGCTGAAATTGACTAATCTATTCACAATATTCCTTATGGGAACAAATCGGTCAGTAACTGGCCACCTGAACATACTTCTGGAATGAAAAATATCGTTAAGTCGGGGTCCACTGTATATATATATATATATAATATATAATAAGATATTATATATATATATATAATATATATATATATATATATAATATATAGATATATATAATAAAGATATATATATATAATTTTTTTTTTCAACAAGTCGGCCGTCCCACCGAGGCCGGGTGGCCCAAAAAAAAAAAGAAAGAAAATCCCCAAAAAGAAAATACTATCATCACACATTCAACACTTTCACCACACTCACACAATATCACTGCGTTTGCAGAGGTGCCCAGAATACAACAGTTTAGAAAGCATATACGTATAAAGATACACACCATATCCCTCCAAACTGCCAATATCCCACACCACTCCTTTAAAGTGCAGCAATTGTACTTTCCCATTTCCAGTAGCTCAAGTCCGACTATTGAAAATAACCGTTTCCCTTGAATCCCTTCACGAAAAAATATTTACCCCCTGTCACGACTCCAACAGATCGTCAGGTCCCCAAGTATCATTCGTCTCCATTCACTCCTATCTAACACGCTCATGCACGCTTGCTGAAGTCCAAGCCCCTCGCCCACAAAACCTCCTTTAACGCCCCACTCTTTTCCCAACCCCTTTCGAGACATCCCTACCCCTCTTTCCTTCCCCGATAGATTTAAAGCTTTTCCATGTCATTCTATCTACTTTGATCATTCTCTCAAATGACCAAACCCACCTCAACAACCCCTCTCTGCGCCTCTGAACTAATGCGTTTTATTAACTCCACACTTGCGCCTAATATCCACACTCCCGAATTTCTGCATAATATTTACACCACACCATTGCCCCTTAGACAGAACATCTCCACTGCCTCCAACCGTCTCCTCGCTGCTGCATTTACCACCCAAGCTCACATCCATATAAGAGGTTGGTACTACTAATACTTTCATACATTCCCTTCTTTGCACGTCCATAGATAACGTTTTTTGACTCCACATATACCTCAACGCACACCACCCTTATTCCCTCATCCAATTCTATAATTAACCTCAATCCTTCATAAATCCATCCGCCGACACTCCAACTCCCAAGTATCTGAAAACCAACTTCTCTTCTTCCATACTCCTCCTCCCCAATTTGATATCCAATTTTTCTTTAATCTAATCATTTGATACCCTCAATCACCTTTACTCTTTTCTATGTTAAACTTTCCAACGTTCATACCTTTACACACATTCTCAAAACTCATCCCCTAACCTTTGCAATTTTTTCTTTAAATCTCCCATAAGCATCAGTAGCATCAGCAAGAAAGTAACTGTGTCATTCCCATTTTAATTTGATTCCCCATAATTTAATTCCAAATCCCCACTCCCGAACACCCTAGCATTTACTTCTTTTACAAACCCACATAAATAATATTAAACAACCATGGTGACTATTACACATCCCTGTCCTAAGACCTAACTTTTTTCCTGGAAGTATTCTCCCTCTCCTAAATTTTTAAAAAAATTGAACACCCTGTTCCATATTAATGGTATGTATTCTAGCTGTAAGAAGTGTACATTTTTTTATATAAAAGCTCTGACAGCAGTTCATTGTCAGGTCCCAGGGTACAAAGGAGCAAGTATATGATGATATTGCTGCTGCCATGGCCTACCACAATACCATTATTGTTACAACCACTGACCCAGACAAACGTAAGATGCTCATTGATGAAGTCCAGAAGGTATATAGCTAAAGAATATCATTATATTTTTCTCTAGTTATTATTTAGTGTTTATTACAGGTCAATAAAATTGCTACAGTAGAAGGAAAAGCAAATTTTCTGTTTATCCCATTGTTTTGCAGAGTATAGCTCTCTTGTATAGTTAGAGATTTGGAAATCCAAATTTCCAATCACTATAAAAAGCTTAACAACAGTATTAACTCACAGAACAGATATTCAAACCTATGAGAAGCCAATCATAAAACTGGGAGACCAGCAATCTAGCTGCTGTACCATGCTGATCTAATAAGATTCATCTAACTAGGTATATTTCTATATAGTACATGGCTTTGAAAGGACTTGAGCTAGAGCTTTTGCTACAGTCAGGGTGTGAGATTTGTCAGTACTGTTTTAAACTTGTATTTGTGATCACAATGGAGCCTATGCTAACCTCTTTAGTGTGTATAGAAATATACCTAGACAGATGAATCTTATTAGGCTAATGTGGTACATTGGTTAGCACACTGGCCTGATGGGTTTTAGGACTGGCTTGCCATAATTTTGAACCCCATCTGTTCTGTAAGTTGTTTACAATCATATTATGATTTTTGTGAGTCACTGACAATAGTATATTAGAGTAACCCACATATGTCTAATGTTATGTACATTGTAAGCCAAACTGTTCAGTTGAATGTGCTCAAAATAATATTTACAAATGTCACCAGGTAAAGGTTGCAGCTGAAGCTTTGAAAGCTGCGACAATCTCACAGAATGCAGCAGAAACCTTAGTCAAGCAGGAAGAGCTCTTAACCAGTGCTTCTAGTGTGCTGGGGGAGTGGCTTGATAAACAAAAAGGAATGGATATCACCGATAACTCTATATTTGCTGAACTACCACGCCATTATGAAGATGAATTCAACAAAGACATGGAAGCTCTTAATGTAGGTTCTAATCTTTTACATAAAAATGTCATCTACCTTTTATTTCATCAGTGTTAACAGTCTCATTATCTGATAAGTGTCACCATATACATATTAATTTTAAAGTTACCCTAATGATGCTTACACTAAAGGATGGTGGAGATGATGTAGTTTAGAAAATTATTTGAGTTGTAATGTATATTCACTTGCAGAAAGAGCTATTAAGTAACAGAGAACCTGTTACCTTTGGGTCACCTTGCTTTGGTGGGAAATGGCTAATGTGCTAGAAGAATAAGGATCACATTCTCATTAACCCTTAAATGGTCCAAACGTATATATACGTTTTTTCAACATTTGAAAGTACATGTATGTAAAAAAATGTAGATCTTCTTTTTTGTTTTACATTTGAAAACGTGTAAAAAAACTTTTATCTACCTTTTTTTTGTTACATTTGAAAATATGTTAAAAAAAGTAGATCTACTTTTTTAGCACTACGAATTTGAACATCGATTTGTTTGGACCGTTTAAGGGTTAAACTTACAGCTGGCAATTTGCCCCCATTAGACTTGCTTGCACTCTGAAGGAGGGGTGTTAATGTTGCAGTTTAAAAACTGTAGTGTAAAGCACCCTTCTGGCAAGACAGTGATGGAGTGAATGATGGTGAAAGTTTTTCTTTTTCGGGCCACCCTGCCTTGGTGGGAATCGGCCAGTGTGATAATAAAAAATAATAATAGACTTGCTATACTGTAATAGTAAAAGTAAATATGTATATATAGCTCATGTTTATTGTAGACCTACCCTAGCCAACAAATTCCAATAAATCACCAAAAGGGTTAAGTACTGCTGATGATACATACTTTTGTGCAGTAAAAGAGTGAGGTGCTATAGTTTTTGTATTTTTCAGGTACTTCCTGCCGACGTTGTCACAAGGGTCTCTGAATTTGTACCCCAAATTGTTGAGTATATTAAAAAAATCATGTCTAATGGTTATGCCTATGAATCAAATGGTTCTGTATACTTTGATGTGGGGAAGTTTGAAGGCAAAGGCAACCATTATTATGCAAAAGTAAGTTTCATTCTGTGTAAGTGTGAATGGAGACGAATGATACTTGGGACCTGACGATCTGTTGGAGTGTGAGCAGGGTAATATTTAGTGAAGGGATTCAGGGAAACCGGTTATTTTTATATAGTCGGACTTGAGTCCTGGAAATGGGAAGTACAATGCTTGCACTTTAAAGGAGGGGTTTGGGATATTGGCAGTTTGGAGGGATATGTTGTGTATCTTTATACGTATATGCTTCTAAACTGTTGTATTCTGGGCACCTCTGCAAAAACAGTGATAATGTGTGAGTGTGGTGGAAGTGTTGAATGATGATGAAAGCATTTTCTTTTTGGGGATTTTCTTTCTTTTTTGGGTCACCCTGCCTCGGTGGGAGACGACTGACTTGTTGAGAAAAAAAAAAAAAGTTTTAGAAAAAATATAAGTAAACAGTACCTACTAATGGTTCAGTATCAAGTGTTCAGTAATGTACTGAACATTGTTACTCACCTTCAAGAGGGCAGTCCTGTTACCCCATTCAAGTTTAGGAATTAATAGAGATTGGCATGCTGTCCATATGTGTTTTAAAAGGAGTGGGCCATGTTACCATTTCTTTATATTGAATATTTTCTTTTAATTTTTTGACAGCTTGTTATATGTCTTAATGTTTCATCTTAATTTGTTAATAAAGTATTTGTAATTACATATTACTACTTAAATATATTGAAAAGGGATAAACTATACTTATTGTGTAGATACTAAATGTCAAGAGTTATCAGTGTAACACTTTGTAATGGCTAAGTTCCTTGTAAACAATAAAATGGTTTTGGGCTGACAGTTGGTGCCAGAAGCATACGGGAATCAAGAAGCCCTGGAGGAAGGTGAAGGAGCCCTCTCTCTGAACACCGCTCAGGAAAAGAGAAGCCCTAATGACTTTGCACTGTGGAAAGCCTCCAAACCTGGTGAACCAGTTTGGCCCTCCCCTTGGGGATTGGGTCGCCCTGGCTGGCACATTGAATGTTCTGCAATGGCCTCTGGTGTTTTGGGAGAATCTCTGGATATACACACTGGTGAGGAGTGATCTTTCAGTGTTTTGGAGCAATCTCTGGGTATACATACTGGTGAGCAGTGGTATTGGAGAAAAACTGCAATATGTTTAATGGAAGTATTACAGTCCTAGAAGCTTGGTCACTTTGTTTAATACATTTGGAGTGGCCAAAGTTCCAACACCAAAATATTTCCCTTCAACATGTCTTAAAATGATTGTATTTTGCATCTTTTTTGCATTCCTTGTCAGTATCATTTACCTTTACATCCAGAGTAGTATTTTTTTTATATTCACTTCAGGTCTGTTTTTTTCTTTATCCTTAAATTTATTGCTTATTTATTTTTATTTTATGGATGTCATAGGTAATTTTTACTTATGTGAGCTTTAGGATAGAAAGCTATTGGGATAAACTTTCTTAAAAGGAAAAGGTGGCAGTGGCAATGGAAGAGGCAGCAGCTCACCTGGAGGTGCTATTTTTCTGCCTTAAATGCACATGCATGCTAGTGGCTTCCTATGTGCTTAACGATACATATTTTATTACATGTAAACTATATTTTGTATACTACACAAAGAAATAAAATTTGTTTGTTTAGTGACACTGAATTCTAGATTCTCTATACATATTCTCTTCAATTGCTTTGATACAGGTTTTGTACAGTATATGATTTAAGCATTGTCTTGGGTAATAGTATTATAGGATGTGCTTAATTACTGTGTAATACTTGCCTAACCCTCCCTTTGCTCTCTCTTCACTCTATCCCTCTTCTTCCTTTCCTTTCTTTTCTCCTTTCCTCTCTTTCTTTTCCTTTCCATCACCCATTACAGACCTGTGAGTAGATTTCAAGAAAATGGTTAGGTGCTTTTCTAACCTTGATATACCAAGAATTTCTGTGCCCAGTAGTAGTGTACCATGATATTCTGTGTACAGTATTTCTTTATTTATTTATTTTTGGTTATGTTTTCCTCCTATTTTTTATTCTCTAATTCTTTTAATTAGCATTTATTTCTCTTTCATTCTTGCTCCTGTAATTATGCAGTATATTACTTTTCTGGGAGCAGGGGGCTAGTAACCCCTTCTCCTGTATACATTACTAAATTTAAAAAGACAAACTTTTGTTTTTCTTTTAAGATCACCCTGCCTCAGTGGGACATGGCCGGTTTATTGAAAAAATATATACTATTATTATTATTTTTATTAGCACACTGGCCAATTCCCACCAAGGCAGGGTGGCCCAAAAAAGAAAAACTTTCACCATCATTCACTCCATCACTGTCTTGCCAGAAGGGTGCTTTACACTACAGTTTTTAAACTGCAACATTAACACCCCTCCTTCAGAGTGCAGGCACTGTACTTCCCATCTCCAGGACTCAAGTCCGGCCTGCCGGTTTCCCTGAATCCCTTCATAAATGTTACTTTGCTCACACTCCAACAGCACGTCAAGTATTAAAAACCATTTATCTCCATTCACTCCTATCAAACACGCTCACGCATGCCCGCTGGAAGTCCAAGCCCCCTCGCTCACAAAACCTCCTTTACCCCCTCCCTCCAACCTTACCTAGGCCGACCTTTTCCCCGCCTTCCTTCCACTACAGACTGATACACTCTTGAAGTCACTCTGTTTCGCTCCATTCTCTCTACATGTCTGAACCACCTCAACAACCCTTCCTCAGCCCTCTGGACAACAGTTTTGGTAATCCCGCACCTCCTCCTAACTTCCAAACTACGAATTCTCTGCATTATATTCACACCACACATTGCCCTCAGACATGACATCTCCACTGCCTCCAGCCTTCTCCTCGCTGCAACATTCATCACCCATGCTTCACACCCATATAAGAGCGTTGGTAAAACTATACTCTCATACATTCCCCTCTTTGCCTCCAAGGACAAAGTTCTTTGTCTCCACAGACTCCTAAGTGCACCGCTCTATGTTCTCTTTGTAATTGATCCTATCCTCCTCCCTCCCTCAACAGGATTATGGCCAGGCTGAATTATAGCAAAGATTTAGGAATGGAAACTGTGTGACCACAGTGGTAAAGCAAGATCAGTTTACAGTACTTTATTTGCAGTGAATGAGCCAGGCCAGTAATAACCCTGATAACAAAATCTTGTTCATCTCATGCCCTTACTCTGTTTTTTTCTGTCTTACATATTCTCTTAGGAAATTATTAAAGATATTGACCTGTGTGGCTATGTTTATATTCTTTAGGTGGTGTTGATCTTAAATTTCCTCACCATGACAATGAGCTGGCACAGTCTGAAGCTTATTTCAACAACGACCATTGGGTGAGTGCAGGATTTGGTGGCTGGGTGTTTTTCATATTTAATTGTGCTATTTGTATATTGCAATAAGTATTTTTTTTAGGAGTGCAAATAAGCCATATTAAAATTTTTGAGTACTGTATTATAGTGTAATTCGTCAAAGTATTCAAAATTAAGCTAAAATCTTGAAAGTAATGCACTTGTTTGTAGGTGCGTTACTTCCTGCACACTGGTCACCTGCACATCGATGGTTGCAAGATGAGCAAGAGCCTTAAAAACTTCATCACCATCAAGAAGGCCCTTGAGGAAAGTTCAGCTTCCCATCTTCGCATTGCTTTCCTCCTGCATTCCTGGAAGGACACCCTAGATTATAGCTCGTAAGATGATTTGTCTATATTTCCAGGTGTCATGTCTGTCTGAGGGTAAGGTTGTTTTGATGCCAGTGAAGAACAGTCGATTTAAGGAATTGGAATTATTACTGGTATTCTCTTCCTGGAATCAAATGTAATTACCTCCCATTCTTTAAGTGTTTTATTACTCATACAGTGTTAGTACACCCCCTTGAATATAATAATATTTTTAGGTAAATAGTTGGTGTTTGAGGAATGGTTAGGATGAGGGTGTGAAAAAAAGGAAGAGAGGAGAGGAATTTGAACTTAAAACTTAAGAATGTTAGTTTGGTAGGGGTAAGAGAGATGGATGGGAGTTCATGTCTTGTTGGAGCACTAGCAGCTAGTAAGAACTGAACTAGAGGCTGAGATGTTCGGTACTTGTACTAAATGTAGAGCAGAGGTGTTCTTCCATTGCTGGGTTTGAACCACAGTGTCTGTTCCCTGATAAAGAAGTGAACAATAGTGAATGTGATTTTTTCCCTTGTGATCACCCTGCTTTGGTAGGAAATGGCCAGTGAATTAAAAAATATCTGTCTTACAGGAACACAATGGAGGGATCTCGACAGTATTACAAAATGTTAAACGAATTCAACCTGAATATACAAGATCTGATTCGTCGCACTGGTTGCACGAGCACCGTATGGACTTCACAAGAGGAGTCTTTGCAGTCCTTGTTCAACTCTTGCAGGTTTGTTATTTGAAATTACCTTATGCTAAAGTCTTGTGTTGAACACAATAGTGTTTGACACTAATTTGGTGTAATCATATGTTGTTTGATGTACAGTTGTAGGTTATTTATCATTAATGGTAACAGTTAAAAACAATAATACAGTATTAATATTGGTGGGCAGCAGCAAAACTGGCTGGTAAATACATGATTGAAAAAAATTGTGATTATTGTACAAGATGAGTACATATACCTGTACAAGTGTTAGAAGTTTATTCCATTCATTGGGATTGTGAGACATGCTTGCCTCATAGATTTATAATTGTGATATATATTACTGGTTATGTCAGTGCATGAATTTTGTTTCCTCAGAGTTAATGTCCACAAAGCTCTCTGCGACAACATTGACACAAGAAGGGCTTTGGATCACATACGAGACGTCATTACAGAGGCCAATAAATACATGAATAACAGTGTTAAGGTAAACAAAGGAGAGGTTATACCATTATATACTACATAACAGTGTCCATTATATTGGTAAACAGATAGTTACATTGATACAGTACTGGTAAGTAGAGAATAATACTGTACCTTTTAATTTGCTACAATTTTAGATAATTCTGTACTTTTTGAGTTGAAGTTTTTGTTAGCTCTCATCATTGCATTTCAGTTAATATTTGTGAAGAGAGTACTAGGAATCCAATTTGAATATATTGCAGATGCACGACACTGTCATTGCTGTCCGGGAAGTCACCAGATCAAAATCCTAGTATTCTCTACATCACTGTTTAATTTAACAGTATTGTGGATTCTCATGTCATTGATTATTTGAAATTCTATAACAGGTAGGCCATTTTTGAGCTAATAAATGTGCTGTATGTATTTTTTCTACAAGAAATTAATCTTTAGTACTACCTATATTGGTTAGGCTGGATGCAAATCAGTTTTGCTGTCATTCATTATTTCTAATGGTATTTTTGTTCCCCAGGTAAACTCTCAATTATTAATAAACATCAACAGCTTTGTAGGAAAATTGATGAATATCTTTGGTGTTCCTGTTGGAGACAGAGGTGCTTCTGGAGGCCAGGTAAGATAATAGATTTTACTATTTATTTGTTTCTTGTATATTTTTCTTTTACTTCCATACTCAGTAACAGCCTGAAGTTGTTTCATTATTATATTTTTTTATGTAATGCTTCAGGGGTCAGAAAAGTTAATTGCTGTAGCAGAAGTGGTTGCCAATATCCGAGAGCAGCTGCGACAGTGGGCTCGCGATAAGGAAAAGGATGTTAAGGAGCTTCAGAGACAGCTGCTAGGACTGTGTGACAACATCAGAGATGACTTCCTGCCACCCCTTGGAATCAGATTGGAGGATAGAGAAGGGGGTCAGTAATGGGAATGCTTAATTTCAATTTTGAAGAGACTTGTATGTTTTTTTTTTTTTTTTTTTTTTTTTTCAACAAGTCGGCCGTCTCCCACCGAGGCAGGGTGACCCAAAAAAAGAAAATCCCCAAAAACAAAAAACTTTCATCATCATTCAACACTTTCACCACACTCACACATTATCACTGTTTTTGCAGAGGTGCTCAGAATACAACAGTCTAGAAGCATACACATATAAAGATACACAACATATCCCTCCAAACTGCCAATATCCCAAACCCCTCCTTTAAAGTGCAGGCATTGTACTTCCCATTTCCAGGACTCAAGTCAGACTATATGAAAATAACCGGTTTCCCTGAATCCCTTCACTAAATATTACCCTGCTCACACTCCAACAGATCGTCAGGTCCCAAGTACCATTCACTCCTATCTAACACGCTCACGCACGCTTGCTGGAAGTCCAAGCCCCTCGCCCACAAAACCTCCTTTACCCCCTCTCTCCAACCCTTTCGAGGACGACCCCTACCCCGCCTTCCTTCCCCTATAGATTTATATGCTTTCCATGTCATTCTACTTTGATCCATTCTCTCTAAATGACCAAACCACCTCAACAACCCCTCTTCTGCCCTCTGACTAATACTTTTATTAACTCCACACCTTCTCCTAATTTCCACACTCCGAATTTTCTGCATAATATTTACACCACACATTGCCCTTAAACTTGTATGTATTAGCAAAATATACTTCAGTATACAGGACTGTATAAAACAATCTTAAACTATGCTGCATAAAATAAATGCTCAATAATAACCCCACATGGAGAGAGAAACACAGGTGATTAATTGATATGTATATTTCAACACCCTTCTGGGATCCTCTTCAGCAGAAGGGGATCCTTCTAAAGAGGATCCCAGAAGGGGATCAAAATATTTAGAACAATTAATCTGTGTTTCTGTCTCCGTGTGGGTTATTATTCAGCACTGATAAGTATTCATTACATTTGAGTTATACATTAAATAAATGTTCATTTAGATAAGAAAATTTTTATTTATTTGGTATGTATCATGGCTGTGTTGGTAAGGTTACATTATTATGTTGTTTTAACATGACAAGAGTTATTCTTAGCAGTAAAATATTGTTCCAGAATCACCTTGCATAAAGTTGGTGGATGCAGCAGAACTGATGCAGGAAATACAGGCCAAGAAAGATCAGGAGGAGGCAAGGAAACAAGAAAAAGCCGTGAAGAAATCTGAGCAAGCAGCAAAGGCACCTGCCGAGACACCAAAAGATCCTAAGGATATGTTCCATACACCTGAGTACTCACAGTGGGACAGTAATGGCATTCCCTCACATGATAAGGATGGAAAGGAAATTTCAAAAAGCCAGATGAAAAAGTTGACCAAGCAAATGGAGGCACAAAAAAAGAAATTTGATAAGTGGCAAGCCCTTCAGCAGTCCTAGTGTGGTATCCCTGCGCTAGGTGATAGATGGTGATGGACTTTGAAGATCCTGAGTGATAATTTATTGCAAAACTTGAAAATTTTGTATTGCTTTGTCAGGGTCTTGTTTACTGCATTTATTTAGTAAATAAACTTTTTATAAGGCAATATCTTGTAACTCAATTAAAAGTGAAATATCAGATTTGACTTTATTTGTAATGTTTCCCTTTTTCCACAGAAAATCGTTCATGTGTGATATACATGAATGGTTATTTAAAGAATGCATCAGGTTAGAGTCAGATACCAGCCTGAGTTTTTGATCTTGTTATACTGTAACTATATTTGTTAATGCATATACAGGTATATGTATGTCCATTTTTGGATGTAGTATACAAATTACAGTATGTGGATTTAGTATCATTCATGAATATAACCAGTTAGCTGGACTTGAGTCCTCGGGGTGGGAAGGGCAGTGCCAATACTTGGGAGGGGTGCTAATGTTGCAGTTGGTGGATGATCTGTTGGTGATGTCAGCACACTTATGAGAAGACGGTGATTGAGTGAAATGGTGTTTTTTTTTTTTTTTCTTTGAGTCGCCATTCCTCGGCAGACTACTACTATTGAGTTGTTAAAAATACAAAGCAAATTACTAAGTTGATAAAGGCAAGACTGATGGAATGAGTGATGGTGAAAGTGTGCCTTATTTTTCAGGTCACCCTGCCTCGTTGGGAAACAGCCGATGTGTTAAAAAATGTGTATATGTATATATATACAGTGGAACCTCGGACAATTCGACATTCGAACGCTTTGTTCAGTAAAAAAAATCATTGGGTAGTCAACCGTTTGCTCAACATGCAACCAAACAAATACGATCTGCTGGAACTTCGCTGTAAACTATTTTGTGTTTTGCATTTTTCGTTGTTTTACATCGCAGGCCCACATTCCTTGATCCGAAACCCTTGAGGCCAGTAGTGTTTCGAATTTAAGAATTTTTTGAATTTCAGAATGAAGGTGGGATCTAGGGCAGCACCCTATAATCAAACATTAACACTGCAGCAAGAACGCATGAATACTCACATTAAGTGGGATAAATAAAGACTACAAATACTACTACGGTTTATTTTTAGAGAGTAATACATTGATAAATGAAATAATGAAAGAATTATAGAACAGGAACATGATTCTCAAGATGATTGACAGAAGGCATTTTTAAAGACTTCTTCAAGTGTTATCTGTCTTATTAACATAGGTTTCTATCTAAGCAATCTCTCTTTAACTGAATAAATTACCATAATCTCTTGCTCACTGATAAATGCACGTTGTTCAAGGCCAGCAATTAACTGATCACACATTTTCACCATATCATCTATGGGGACTTTTTCACCTGTGTTCACAATGTCCTCATCATCACTACTATTCTCATGCTTATTTGTATTTAACACCATTTCAGCAATTTCTTCGATGTCAGTTTCCTGTAACTCCATTAGCACAGTCAAGATCTTCATTTTTTGCCCTATGCAGTGTTTTCCTATTTTTCATTAGTTTTTGGTCATCACTGTCACTATAAGACTTCAGTAACTTATCTTTCTGTTTCTCTAAATCATAAACAGTGGTAGTTCCAACACCATATTCTTCAGTAAGACTCCGCACTGACACCACAATCAAGCTGCTGCAGTAACTCTACTTTCTGCTTTATTGATAACGTCAGATGCTTCCTTTTCTTTTTCTCACTGTTACCCATAGGGGTATCTGCAGCTTGCTGATATTTTCAGTGAAATTAAACACAGTCACAAAATAAAAAGGAAAAACAAATTATCAGCAAACAGCAGACACATGTGTGAACACTACAAGTGCTGAGACACAACTAGCGGCGTTGGAGCTATGTAGAGATGACTGACGCTCCACATCCCACGAAAAAACTTCGGTTTTCAGAACTTTTCGAATTTCGAAAAAAGGAATGTGGACCTGAAGAGATTCTGAAGAGAAGTTGCAGAGATTGGTGGATGAATTTGGTAGGGTATGCAAAAGAAGAAAATTAAAAGTGAATACAGGAAAGAGTAAGGTTATGAGGATAACAAAAAGACTAGGTGATGAAAGATTGGATATCAGATTGGAGGGAGAGAGTATGGAGGAGGTGAATGTATTCAGATATTTGGGAGTGGATGTGTCAGCGGATGGGTCTATGAAAGATGAGGTGAATCATAGAATTGATGAGGGAAAAAGGGTGAGTGGTGCACTTAGGAGTCTGTGGAGGCAAAGAACTTTGTCCTTGGAGGCAAAAAGGGGAATGTATGAGAGTATAGTTTTACCAACGCTCTTATATGAGTGTGAAGCATGGGTGATGAATGTTGCAGCAAGGAGAAGGCTGGAGGCAGTGGAGATGTCATGTCTGAGGGCAATGTGTGGTGTGAATATAATGCAGAGAATTCATAGTTTGGAAGTTAGGAGGAGGTGCGGGATTACCAAAACTTGTCCAGAGGGCTGAGGAAGGGTTGTTGAGGTGGTTCGGACATGTAGAGAGAATGGAGCAAAACAGAATGACTTCAAGAGTGTATCAGTCTGTAGTGGAAGGAAGGTGGGGTAGGGGTCGGCCTAGGAAAGGTTGGAGGGAGGGGGTAAAGGAGGTTTTGTGTGCGAGGGGCTTGGACTTCCAGCAGGCATGCATGAGCGTGTTTGATAGGAGTGAATGGAGACAAATGGTTTTTAATATTTGACGTGCTGTTGGAGTGTGAGCAAAGTAACATTTATGAAGGGGTTCAGGGAAACCGGCAGGCCGGACTTGAGTCCTGGAGATGGGAAGTACAGTGCCTGCACTCTGAAGGAGGGGTGTTAATGTTGCAGTTTAAAAACTGTAGTGTAAAGCACCCTTCTGGCAAGACAGTGATGGAGTGAATGATGGTGAAAGTTTTTCTTTTTCGGGCCACCCTGCCTTGGTGGGAATCGGCCAGTGTGATAATAAAAAAAAGTCACTATGAGGCCTACAAAGACTAGTGATAACAGCCAACCAAAAAGAAAATTGGTTGGGAAAAATCCGTTTGGTGCTCAAACAGATCAGCACTCGAACAGCCTTCTGGAACGAGTTAAGTTTGAGTACCAAGGTTCCACTGCATACATTTTATGTATGTATTTCAATAAAGGAGACTAATTTAATGCATCATACAGTCACTACCTTGGAGAGAGATGGCCATTGTGTTTGAAAAAAGAAAAGAAGCAACATGAAATTGATTGTGGTTGTTCGTCAATATTATTGTAGGAACTGTCTTTCACTTGTTTTTACACCCCACTCACCATTACTCATGTGGTAGTTTGACAAATGCTTAATATCCACTGTTATTCAAACATTATTGTGCCTTTTGTTTTTTAGTTTCCTTTATCTTTCTACCCTCTCCTCCCCTTGTTTAAAAATTCAAAAATTATTCATATCTTTCTAAGTGCAAGTGATATTGCATAATTGTTCATTCAGCACAGATGGGGGAGATGGATGACTGTGGGCAGTCACCTTTCATGGTGGGAAAACCATAGATTACCATCAGCCATACTGACTAGAGTTTCTCATCCCAGTGGAGCTGCAGCTATTGTAAGAGACCAAGAGCTGCCCTGGTGTGTTTACCATGCTTAGGGCCTCACCTAAATCGAGCTGATCTTGCTTTTCATTGTATGACCCTTTCAGGCTTACCCTAATAATAATAATAATAATAATAATATTGCCTTTTGAATATAATCCAAAATGAACGAAATCTATTAACTACAGTAATAGTTCCTTGCATATGTCTTCATTACTCCATATGACTTGTAGCTTTTATTGTTTATTAACTGTAATTTTATTTTTGTTTTTACTGTGTGTGCTTCATATTGTTATTGTTCCAAGTGCTGAGTGACCTACAAAGTCGGTGCTCTGAAAATATTCTACTACTACCTCAATATGACTTCTCAAAGAAAGTGAAGGGCTCTTGATACAAGAAATTGGATCTGCCCTCCACTTCCTTGGATTAATGACAATGGTTTTAAAAACTGACAAGTTGAAGAATGAGACACCTGTGCAATATTTGGGAATCTTTATTGAGGAAACATTTTGCTAGCCAGTGGCTTCTACAGTCCAATACAGAGAGTAACAGGAGATGAGAAGGGAGTGTGAGGTAATCAGTCCCTCAGCCTCATCTTTTTTCTTGGATTAAACTTCATTGCTTCCCAAATGGGAATAGGTGGCATTGGTTACCTGGAGAGAGTTCCGGGGGTCAATGCCCCCACGGCCCGGTCTGTGACCAGGCCTCTCATTACCCAGGCACTATATAACCCCAGTAGGTTTTTGACCTGCCCCTTGAATAAAATAATAATCCTCAAGGGTTTAGTGCTTCCCTCCTCACTAACAAAATAATCCCTGAGAAGGCAAGTTATGTGGACAAATTTTATCCTTTCCAGGTATACCTGTGCTGTACCATTTACCTAGCAGTAAATGAATATCCAGGTGTTAATTTGCTGTTGTGGATCATCCTGGTGACGAGTAAGTTTATTTAGGCACAGGTACACATAAATATAATTATCATACATGGCGTAAATTACCTAGGATAACCCAAAATAGGTCGAAGTGTCTTATTTACACTGGGGTCCTTGATTTCCATTGGGAATATAACAACTCCTTAAATAATGTTACTTTAGTTGTTTTGAGATAAAAATCCTGCAATGTGGGGGGTGGGCTTTGATACTGGCAAAGGGCTCTTGATCCAGTGAATTGAAGCTGCCTCTCCCTTGCATTAAGCTTGATTGCCTCACAGCTGGAAAACAAAGAAAGTGTTCATTATGGTCACAGTTTAATTTGATTTACCTCCAAAATATAGAGCTTTTGATTCATTGAATTTGACCTTCCCTTCCCTTCCTTGAATCAACACTGATTGCCTCCTGTTTCCCCAAATACTACATGACCCCCTGCAGGTTTAGCACTTCCCCATGACTATTAATACATTCACTATTCCAGTACATTTATTATTATTATTGTTATATTTTTTTATGGGAGGTAGTAGGCCTTTATTTAGGCCTCATGTATATAAATTTTAAACTTTTGCAATATGTTTATGTAGAAAATTATGTACTAGTTACCCCTCAAGGAAGGTTCCTTGATGTTGGTGAAGGGCTCTTGATTTAGGGAATTGGATCTGTGCTCCAGTTCCCCGAATTAAGCCTGAATGCCTTCCACATCCACCCCCCAGGCGCTGTATAATCCTCCGGGTTTAGCGCTTCCCCCTTGAAAAAAAAAAAAAAATAAAATAATAATAATATGTACTAGTTAACTTTAGATAACCTAAAAAAATCAAGAAATGTGGTTTCCACTGATGTCCTGTGACACGGGAGGTTATAAGATCCGATTTAGGGAAAAGGAAGGTAGCTTCAATACCTTGGATCAAGAGCCCTTCATCGACATCAAGGCATCTCCGAAGGAAATTTCAATTGAAATTTGAACTTTGCGGGTGTTAATGTGAGGTGTGGCTGACAGATGGCGTGAGACACTAGATAAAAAAAATATAATGTATAGAATTTTTAATGTATCAAGTCTGCAATATAAAAATATATAAATACAAATAATTAATGTAAAAATAAATATGTGGAACGGTATAAGGTGGTTCCTCGTGCCCAGGATTGAGCCCGGGCGAGAGGCGAGTGTCAACAGCAGTGCTGGAGGAGGAAGGTTAAGAGTGTGTGTGTGTGATCCAGTGATGTGTGTCTCAGTTTTGTGAGGTGCACCAGTGTGGGGAGTGGCAGACACAGCAGTGTGTGGGGGTGGCAGGCAGACATCATGGGGTCAGCACACAGCACCAGGAAGATCACACTGGTTAATGATGATAAGGCCGGCGTTATCAAGGTGTCTGACACTATTTCAACTAGTATTCATCTTATTAATATATTTGACTCTCCTTGACAGCAAGAATATAAAAGTCAGTTTAGCAGATAACGGTTTTTTATGCTTCTTTTATTCGTATTAAACTTTTTTCTTTAATTGGAGATGAAGATTTTGTCAGGCTGAGGATGACCGGCCTTAAATTATAAAATATTGTTTCTATAATAAACAAGGTAAAGGAGAGAAAACTTCCTTTATCAAATTATAAAAAATTAAATTGTTAAAGTGTATTAGATTTTATTAATATAATTTCTCCTTAGGCAGATAGTAAGGAAATAAAATTTATAGCCGTTTTTGTAATTTTGAAGGAAAATATTCCTTGAAGGAAGTTGCCTTGATGGTAAGTTTACATTTAGACACAGGTACACATAAATACATTATTATTATTATAATCAAGGGGAAGCGCTAAACCCGGAGGATTATACAGCGCCTGGGGGGGATGTGGAAGGCATTCAGGCTTAATTCGGGGAACTGGAGCACAGATCCAGTTACCTAAATCAAGAGCCCCTCACCAACATCAAGGAACCTTCCTTGAGGGGACACAAATACAATTTTCATCGTGTAAACTACCTAGGATAACCCCAACAAAAAAGTCACTTGAAGTGACTATTTCCATAGGGGTGAGAGGCTCTTGATCCAAGGAACCTACTTGTCCTCTTCCTTGAATTGAATCTTATTGCTCCACATTTACCAGGTAACTTCTGTATTAATTCATATCAGTTTATCACAAGGTCTTCAATAAGAACTTCTTTACTTTGTAACATTGCAGAAGTTGCATACTTGTAGATGCTATATTGTATAATATTTATTATGTTTAGTTTCTTTACATATTAAATACAAGTCTCAAACATGTATAGCATGTGTGATCTAAGAACCCCTGTGGACTTTCCAGAATAAAAAAAAAAGGCATACATAAGAACCTAATTAATAGACATGCCAAATTAAAAGGTAAATATTTAAGGAATCCAGTGGAAAACAGCTACTCTTTAAAAAAAATTCATAACCCTATGGTAAGGCAATGTTATTTTCCAGCAATATATGCTCCTAAAACCGTTGTTTATTGCAACCATTGTATATTATTAATATTATTATTAAAACTAAGCACTTAACCCACAGTGAATATAATCATTGTATAACTATTGTATAATGCAATAATTATTGCCATGTGTATTGCATATAAAGATGCATGAATGCAAATATTATAATTTTTGGTTTCTTTCTAGCTTTCAGAATCATTGGCATATCGGTTGCGAGGACAGATAGAAGGTCAGCAGGCTGCAGCAGAGGCCTCAGGTCCTGCAGCAGCTGCAGAATCACCTCTAGCCCCTGGGCCTCCATCCCCTACTCCCATAGATTCTGAACCAGTTGCTCTTGAGCCCATTGCTCAGAAGCCCTTGATTCCAGAATCTCCAGTCCATGAATCAGCAGCTCCAGAACCTGTGGCTCCAGAGTCTCTGGTTACTGAACCAACAGCTGTGGGTGAGTCTCACCTTTTGGCTACTGTGCTAGTAAATGATACTTGTGTTTTAGTTGATGTTTCTGAATTTTTCCTTCTGTCCTGCTGTTTGTGGCAGATTATACTGACCTCTCAGCCACCTTTGCTTGTGGATAACCTATTTCAGCCTCTGGAGCCTGCTTGTGTAGAGTTTGGAACCTCTGGTTTCTTTCTGAAAATGAGTCTCTGATCTGCTAAATATCTCTACCCCTCCACCAGTGAAATTTAATAGTTTTTCACCTGAACAGTTGAGAAATTGATGCAGAAGCTGCAGCAAGAACTATGGAACAATTAATAAGTTGCAGAATTTTTTGAGATACTTTAGGAAGTTGCCATAATTAAAGGCGACAGTAGGTTTGTACTGATGTTGAAATTTCTGGCAGTATTTAAGTTGAAGTTTTTCACATTAGATTGTAGCATAGGTATCTAGCCATTATGCAGGCTTCATAAATAGGCTCATTTCACATCTCCACCTTATGAGTATTGTTGAGATACACAGCTTTTTCTAAATTGTCTGAAGTAAGGACAAACATGATGTAGGACAAAGCATCTACATAACCATTATACTGTAGTGTTTCTTAATATTCAGAATTTCCAGTTGAATGTTATCTTTAGTCTTAAATATAATCTCTCCACTACTGTAAACACAGTCATCTTCTCTTCTGTAATATATACTGTTTTAAAAGTCTGTATTCATTCTATTAATTTTTATATTTTCCCTTACATCACTGGCTGATATTTATTATTATTGTTACTACACCAACAGTTTCCCCCCCATCATTGATCTTTGCTACACCATCTTACTATAAAAAAATTTCCCCTTACCTCATCAGCTACTTCTCATCAAAGAAGAAAGACATTCACCACCATTCTTTCAGTTGCTATCCTACCAGAAGTGTGCTGACTTCACAATATAGATTACTCTTAGACTGCAATATCCCTACCCCTCCAGGATACAGGTACTGCTCATCCCACCTCCAGGATTCAAGTCCAGTTAACTAGTTTTCCCTGAATCCCTTCATAAGTTACCTTGCTCATACACCAACAGCATGTCCATTAAAAAACCACTTGTCTCTACTCCAATCTAACATGCTTGTACAAACCTGTTTGATGTTCAAGCCCCTAATACTCAGAGCCTCTTGTACCCTTTGTCCAACCATTCCTGGCATGAACCCTATCTTTCACCCCAGATTTATATAGCTTCTTTGTCATCCTATTATTCCATCTTCTCTACATGCCCAAACCCCCTCAACGGTTTCTTCTGAGCCCTCCGAATTATGCTCTTTGAGAGCCCCACTTTGTCTTAATTTTTATGCTCTAAATTCTTTGCATATTCACATTACACACTGGTCTCAAACATTTCTTCACTACCTCAAGCTGCTATCTCGCTGCAGCACTCAAATCCCATGCCTCATGCCCGTATAAGTGTTGGTACCACATTGTACTCTGATACATTCCCACAGATACTTCAAAATGCTACCCACCTTTATTCCCTCATTTATTTTGTAGTTTTAGCACTTAGTTTTGATTATAATAATATTTTATAGTTCACCATGTCTTTCATAGACATACCTAATCCCAAATATCTACATACATTAACTTCCACACTACTCCCTTTTGAGTTGATATTTAATGTATTATTGCCTAGACTTTATTACCCTCGTCACCTTGCTCTTCTGTTTTCTTTTACATAACCTCTTAACCCTTCGACTGTTTCGGCCGCACATATACATCTTACAAGCCAATGTTTCAGACGTATGTACAGTATACGTACTCAATAATTCTAGCGGCTTCAAATCGAGCAGGAGAAACCTGGTAGGCCCACATGTGAGAGATAAGAGATAAGATAAGATTTCGTTCGGATTTTTAACCCCGGAGGGTTAGCCACCCAGGATAACCCAAGAAAGTCAATGCGTCATCGAGGACTGTCTAACTTATTTCCATTGGGGTCCTTAATCTTGTCCCCCAGGATGCGACCCACACCAGTCGACTAACACCCAGGTACCTATTTGCTGCTAGGTGAACAGGACAACAGGTGTAAAGAAACGTGTCGAAATGTTTCCACCCACCGGGAATCGAACCCGGGCCCTCCGTGTGTGAAGCGGGAGCTTTAGCCACCAGGCCACCGGGCCACCCAGAGAATGGGTCTGTGTGGTCAGTGTGCACTGTATAAAAAAAATCCTGCAGCACGTAGTGCATAATGAGAATAAAAAAACTCTGACCGTGTTTTTGGATTAAAACGCCGACTTTGAGGTGTATTTTCGTATATGGTTGTATTCTCGTTTTCTTGGTCTCACTTGATAGAATGGAAAACATATTACAGAAACAGAGATTATTTTAATTAGTTTCACGATGAAAACGACCTTGAAATTGAGCTCAAAGTAGCGGAAATGTTCGATTTTTACCAATGTTCAAGAGTAAGCAGATCACACCACACATCCAATACACATCAACTGGGGAGTCTGATATTCTTTCACTAGTACACAGATATTATACCATTTTTACAATAATGCAGTAGTCTGCATAACAGTAAATCTATTTTTTGTGTGAATAAAAAATCAAAATAGAAAGCAAGAGTAATGTAAGAGGGGCCTGGAGACATGACTAATGAACAGAGGATATGTTATTTTAGTGCCAAGAATGTCTGCATTATTTATTCTGGACCCTATTTTGAAACTGGCATCTTTTTTAATTTGCATGACATTGGCCAAATTGCCAATTTCTGACCACTTTATTGGGTAGCTGAAATTGATAAATGGGCAGTTTCTTGTACTCAGTTGATAGAAAAAAATGGAGTTCTAAAGAAATAGTTATGAGTTTGGTTGACTGGAACAATGGAATTGGCCAAAAAATAGGGCTCAGTCGGCGAAACATTAACATGTCATCAATGTTATTCTGGTTCTGCTGTCAATTATATAAATTGCTTTTGCTCATAAATGTGCTAAAGAAAATGTCTTGTATATTTATTACGTACAGTTATGCAATTTTGTTACCCTTGAGCCAAATACTTCCTTAATCGAATTTGCTGCTTTAGCCTGCTGTGGCATGTTATTGCTTCTAGCACAAAACTGCATGTACACTCACTAGAAATAAAAATCAAACCAGAAATGTAACCAATTAAGATTTTATTTCATATTAAGTTTAAGCCTGACGTGCTGCATACTCAGGTAAGGTACCATGCCACAGCTTTGCTTCTTAAAAGAAAGTACGGAGGTATACGATTACTGCTCAACATGGTCGTAGATCTTTCAGTGGAGTGTGTTTTTCACCCAATTTGATTAATTTATGTAAAAAAAAATGGAAGTATAACCACATATAACAAGAGAAGTAGAAGAGGGAAAAAATATACCTGTCACTGGTGGGTAAAAAGAAAAAAAAAAAAAAATTAGCTTTGCTCATCGCATTTAGACCTAACTTTGTGTATTTTAAATTATAGGTTTATATCAGTTTTTGAAAAGTAATGTGTATTATTTTGAGTGATAGTATGTGCAGACTAGCTTGAGATACTTTCTCCCTTTGGCTAAAAATAATGCCAAAAACTTCTGTAAGATTTTTTTAGTAATTAAAACCCTGAAGCGTCAGCAGAAATAACACAGGTTTGAATAGATTTTCGTGTCAGCAAATTTGCATTCATACTGGAGTAACTGTAGGCCCATCCCTCAACCTTATAACCCCAAGGTTAACTGGTTTGTAGCTCTTGCTGAGGTCCGAAATGTTGAGTTATGGCTACAGCATAAAGTATACTGTACTGCCACATGATTGGTTCAATCACATGCCTGCTGTTGAGAGCCTAGTACCATAATGAGCTTTTAACAATATCACTGATATTGTAGTTAAGTTACAGTACCATGGATGGAGCTTCACAACTAACACAGAATTTGGAAAATTAACTTCAAATGAAATTTCATTTCATTTTGGTCTATTATAAAGTCCTTATGTGAACCATTATTAAGTAAGTACTTGATAATGGCCAAGGATGAACTGAAATGCCATCTAAATTTTCAGCTTCAAATTGCAAGTTAATGCAAATTGCTGAAGTCATTTTCTCATCTGTGCAATGGCATGTCATTTGCTAGTGTGTGGCTGGTCCTGTTATGTCAAAGGATCTTGTGTAACTATTTTGGCCTCTGAAATCACTTGCAGTGCTTATAAGTAACTTGTAAAATTGAGTGCATGATGGTAGCAAATGTTAAATTTCCCATGAAATTTGTATTACATTAAGTATTGCAATAAGCATGCTTATATGTTGCCTCTAGATATATTGCTTTTATTGCAAACAAAATAAAAACCAAATGGCTGAAATATGATGGTTATAGGCTTTTGAACATGAATAAGTAGTGTTTCACGCACTTTCCTGCACAGCTCAAGCAGTGAATGAGGCCATACTAGACAGTGATGCATATCCAACAGCTTAAACATTACAGTTTCTCCATCGTTTTCTTTGGCAGTTGGAGTAAATGAGGGCACGACAAAAGTAGCATCTGCTGATGCAGAGACTTCACCCCCTCCAGATATTGGTGTGGCATCTAAGTAAGTACAACAGAAATTGAGTTGTTCTCGTTATATCAGTTCATGAACACTCAGGATTTGTACAGTACCTGCTTAAAATTATTTGGTTAGTGAATCTGGACAAAACCTGTGCTGGTATCATTCATTGGGTTAATGACATTAAAGACCTGATATAATCACATTAACAGTGGGAGTCTTAACAGTTTATTTCCAAATGATGGAAAAAGTGGTAGTCTACAAGACGTGTGCATGAATTTTATATCTGATAACCTTGATTGGCACATGATTATACATTTTTGAGTTATCTGCATTTTTAAATGTTTGTTTTTCTTCATAATTCAGTACAGTAGTCCCCTTGTGCCTGCAGGTGATACATTCCAAGACCTATTGCAGATACCTGAAACTGCGGATAGTAGCTAACCATATAAGTTTTTTGTTTACATACTTATGATAGTTTAATTGATAAATTATGCGCAGTAGGACATTACCAACATTATATAATAATAAAATACATTGTACATATTATACTTCATGAATGGAAGATTAATTCTCGCTGTGCATCTTGGTGACCTCAGTATGTTTTTTTTTTCCTTGTTGTATTGTCGAGAATTAGCATTTCTTCATGGCTTCTCTAAGGCTTTGAAGAACTGCCACATCACTACTTTTGTGCTTTGGTGCCATTATTAACCCTTCAACTGTCCAAACAAATTTACGTTCACATGCGTAGTGCTCCAAAAGTAGATCTACTTTTTTCTACATATTTTCGAATGTAACAACAAAAAAAATAGATCAAGGTTTTTTTTATGTTTTCAAATGTAAAAAAAAATTACCTTTTTTTTTTACATACTTTCAAATGTTGAAAAAACGTAGATCTACGTTTGGACAGTTTAAGGGTTAAGCAAAATTAAGGGTTATTTTCAGGCCATTGTAAACTGCGGAAACTGAATCTGCGGATGCAGGGGCTCTACTGTATACAATTTTATTGCTATTTAATTCACAAGTAGCCCACAAAATGGGATAATTATGAATTGTTCAAGCTGTGTAGCTTAATATTTAAGGGACTGCACGATATGGAGTTATAACTGTGTTTATTCAAGTGTTTTTTTTTTTTACCCCCCCCCCTCTTCCTTGTGTTCAAGTTGATTTACCTCCATTATATTATACACTTGTATATATTAAGTTGCTGCTTTGTAGTTGTATTGTTTTCTAAGGAGGTTATTTTAACAGAGCTGGTCCACCACCTTCACTTAGTCATCCAAGTGGTAACATCCCACCATGGTCTATATATGCTGAGGAAGCTCATTTGATGGTAATGCGGTTACGAGAAGAAAAGGAACGAGAGATGGAGAAACTGAACCTCGACTGGCGTGAGAAAATGGAAGGCAGAGAAAAGGAGGTAAATATCAGTAGTTTGTATGGTAAAATGATTTAAGGAAGCAAGTTAATTTTTAGTGATAAATATGAATGCCATAGCTGAAAGCAACCAGTGAACATTTAGCCACAGTTTAAAGACTTTAGTATCAAAGAGAGAGAAACTTAATCAAAGATCTAGCTAGATATGCAAAAAACTAGTTTACATTTAATAAGAGTAATATTGTATGAAAATGGATGTGATTAATGATTACTTGATTTGTGGGGAAGCTTTGAATCTGGGGAATAGGAGGCAATTAAGCTTTGTCCAGAGAAGTGAAGGGTAGCTCCAATTCCCTGAATAAAGTGCCCTTCACTAACATCAAGGCACCTTCCCTGAAGGGAAGTGTTTCTCATGACTAAAATGTTTTCATTTCTGAATCATTGAGGCCACTTTTCTGGAAAAATTAATAGGGAGAAAGTAAACAAAGATACTGAGATAGAGAGATAAAAATTACTGTATCTTTACCTCTTCAAGGGGGGCTCCTTGGCGTGGTGAAGAGGCTCTTGGTCTGAGGAATTAGACCTATCGGTCTTCTTCCTCAGACCGAACCTAATTACCCCCCAATCTCCCCTCCCCTATCCCATCCTCCCCTTTTTCCTTTCCTCCTCCTCCTCCCCACTCCTCCCTTTTGCCCTTCCTCTTTTTGTCCTTTGGGATTTCTCCCACAGGCGCGCTAGTTCCTGGGTAGGAGAAAGGATACCGGGGTCCATCCCATTCCGTTGAGGTTCTTAGCGGTGGCGTAGTTTGCCGTGGAATCTGGATCGCCTGGGGATGTCCCGATCCCTCTCCGGTATCCCGGAGTAGCTTTGGGTGTCTTTCGGGCGACGAGTGTATCTCTGGAAGCCACCTTTCGGATTCCGGGGGTGGTGGCCGAAGGAGGTATGCTTTGTGGCGGATATCCGGCCGCCCTCTCTTTTGTCCACCGAGGTAGCTCGGCAGATGTGAGGTTGCTATCCCGGATTGTTAGTTTACTAGCATGATGGGTAGGGTATGGCACGGGTTCCATGCTGCATCTGCGCTACTTGCGGTGCTGAGGTCCTCTTGGGCGCGGAGGGAGATTTCTGGCCCTTTCATTCCTCCTAGGAACTATCCCTCCCCGGTCCCCCCTTTTTTTTTCTTTTTTTTATTTTTATTTTCTTTTCTTCTTCTTTTTTTTCTTAAAAACAAAAAGAAGAGTAACCTAACCATGGCAGCCCTAGTCCATGAACCTGGTACCCCCGGGCCCTTCTTGATACCGCACCCCGTTCTGACCCCGCCTCGTCTTTGGACCACTCTTCAGACATTCCTCATGCCTCTGTACCTATTGCCGGTGCTGTTTCCTCACCCGCTTCAGGTACTGAGGCCTCGACTGACTCCTTCGATTTATCAGACCTTCGCTCTCCTCTGACTATGCTTCCGGCCTCTCCCTCTACGGTGCGGCAATTTTCAAATCGCCGACCCGTTCCACGTCGGACCAACTCTGGTCCCACGCCTAAACGTCAACGACAATTACCTGCTGATGATACTTCTCCACCTTCACCTTCTCGTTCTTCTCAAACGATCGACACGTCCTTCACTACCTTTCCACGCTCAGTTTCAGACTGAACAGTGGACTAAATTCTTCACTTTACGACCAACTTCCTCTACTGCCTATCTTTCTGACCATAGTATTGGCAAGGCACTCCTACGCCATGTTGGTAAAGATATTTCTTTTCATGCTCTTAAGAGCGGTACGCGCATCATTACCGTACAGAATGCTACCCAGGCTCGTGAGCTCTCTCGTCTTTCCCATATAGATACTGTTCTGTCACCCTTGAAAAACATCATTCCTCAATTCTTGTAGTGGTACCGTCATTCTGCCCCATACCATAGTTCACAAAATTTCCAGACATGTGGCACCGACATTCTAGAACAGCTGGAACTCCAAGATCTCCCAATCCTCAAGGTAGACACTTACGTTCTTCCTGCCCGTGGGCGGAGACGATACCCTAGCAATGTGGCTCGTTTAACTTTTGACAGCCGAGAACTCCCATCCTCGGTTTATATAGCAGGACATCGGTTACAAGTTCGAAAGGTGATCCCTACACCACAACAGTGTAGAAATTGCTGGCGATTTGGCCATCCAGTGAAATATTGCAGATCTATCGCCGAATGCCCAGTCTGTGGTGCCGATGACCATTCTAATACGTCTTGCAATCGATCTCCCTCTTGCCTTAACTGTCATGAGGCTCACCCTTCGTACTCTCGCCGTTGTCAGGTCTATTTAAACGAGCGGGAAATCCGTTACCTCAGAGACAGAAGGTCTCCTTTATGCCATGGCAGTTTCTCATCTCCACCTCCAAGGGTGACTCCCACGTGTTTCTTATTCCCGTGTTTCAAAACGTCCCCCCACTTCTGGTATCCCATCTTCTACACCCACCTCTGTGGTTACCTCTCCCATAATCACTCCTGTATCTAATCCTTTTGCTGTCCTCGGCTCAGACGTCCCTACTTCAACGCCTCAGTCTAATCTCGCTTCTTCGAGTTCTCTCTTACAAGCCTCAGTATCGACGAGACCTCGTACGACACCTCTTCCCAATCGTCCCTCTACTTCTCAAAAGTCAAAAAAAGGTCCGGTAACACCTCCTACCCATCTTCCACCTCCTCATTTTACCCTCCCTGTCTCTGTCCCTAGTTCTTCCCCTCTCACTGGCTCAGTTACAAGTGCAGAGGTTCACCTCCTCCTCGTAATGTACCTTCCTCCCTGTTCCTCCCAAGTTTTTCCTCTTCTGCCACCTCCCAGGTTCCTGTCTCTCTGTCCCCTGCCATGCTTCTCCAGTTCCCTCCACCCTTTCGCCCCCCCCCTACTTGGTACAGTCCAATACAGTTCCAATCTTTACTCATCCTCCCCCTACCATTCCCAATATTGTCTCCCATACGACATCTCTGAATTCCGAAACACTTGAAGCAATCTCTGAATTATATTGCAGAGACCAAACCATCAATGGACACTGATCCACCTTCCGCTCTTTCTCTCTCCTCTGCTCCATCTGCGCAACTCCTTTCTTCACAGCGCACCGTTCCTTCGCTGCTTGAACATTTTCCACTGCCTCCGCATGTGGACTTTTCTAACCCTTCTAGTCCGTAGGAACCCTTACCTGCGGATTTCAAGTATCTTTATCATTGCCATCATGGCCTTTTTACAGTGGAATATACGCGGCCTCAGGGGTAATCGGGGTGAGCTTCAGATGTTACTCTCCCAGTTTGCCCCTGTTGGTGTTTGGCTTACAGGAACCAAAATTACACTCTGCTGTTATTTCTCACATCTCAGGCTATAATTTATTGTATTCTTCAGATCCTTTTCCTGATGGGACCTTTAATGAAAGTGCCCTTCTTCTCCGCACTGATATTCCGTACCATCAGCTATTTGTTCATACTTCGCTGCATTACACAGCAGCCCGTATCCACTTACATATGGTGGTATACGCTCTGTTCTTTATATCTCTCTCCTTCTCGGGCATTATCTATTCCGGATTTTGCCTTCCTTGTTTCGTCATTACCGCCACCGATTCTGTTACTTGGTGATTTTAATGCCCACCATTTCCTCTGGGGGGGGGTCTCACTGTGATTCCCGTGGAATTCAGTTAGAGGCTTTTCTTGCCACCCACCCCCTCCATGTTTTAAATACAGGTACTCACACCCATTTTGATCCTCGGACTCATAACTCTCTCTTGCATCGATCTCTCAGTTTGCTCTTCCTCCGCCGCATTAGACTTCACTTGGTCTGTTCTCCGGACTTACATGACAGTGATCATTTCCCAATCATTCTTACTTCCCCTTCATATTCGCCACCTCTTCGCACCCCACGCTGGCAATTTAATCGGGCAAATTGGAACCTATACTCACACCTGACTGTTTTTAAAGAGGTTCCTTCTTCGTCCTCCATCGATGAGCTTTTACACCTCTTCTCGTCCTCCGTTTTCACCGCAGCTTCTCATTCTATACCCAAACTTCGGGCAGGCATTCTCAGAAATGCGTGCCTTGGTGGTCTCCTGCTTGTGCTCGTGCAGTACGTTTGAAACGCGCTGCATGGGGCAGGTACCGGTACAATAGAACCACAGAGCGACTCCTTGATTTTAAACAGAAGCATGCGATCGCTCGCCGTGTCATCCGTGACGCTAAACGCACTTGCTGGCGAGATTATGTCTCCACCATCACCTCTGCTTCCTCTGAGTGCAGTCTGGAAAAAAGTACGAAAACTGAGTGGTAAATATTCTCCTGACCCGGCTCCTGTTCTGCGGGTTGCTGGTGTTGATATAGCAAACCCACTAGATATTGCCAATGAAATTGGCAATCATCTGGTCCGTATTTCTCAGGGACTCCATCTATGCCCTCATTTCTTTCCTCAAAGTCTGCCAGAGAGTTAGCACCCTTGGACTTTTCTTCTCTCAGAGAAGAACAGTATAATGTGCCTTTTACACTTCAAGAACTGGAGGCAACACTCTCAGCTTGTCGATCATCGGCAGCTGGGCCCGACGACATTCATATTCGTATGCTACAACATTTACATCAGTCAGCCCTTGCAGTCCTATTACGCCTTTACAATCTTATTTGGTCACAAGGAGTTCTTCCACAGCTGTGGAAATCCGCCATTGTTCTCCCTTTCGCAAACCAGGCACTACGGACATGAAACCTCCCACTATCGTCCCATTGCTCTTACCAGTGCAGTTTGCAAAGTAATGGAACGTCTAGTAAATAGACGTTTAGTGTGGGTATTTAGAGACACACAACAGTCTCTCCACTGGTCAATATGGCTTTTCGTAAGGGACGTTCTACCATAGACCCCTTACTGCGCTTGGATACGTATGTTCGTAATGCCTTTGCGAATAACCACTCAGTTATTGCCATATTTTTTGACCTTGAGAAGGCATATGACACAACTTGGAGGTATAATATTTTAGCCCAAGCCCACTCCTTAGGCCTTCGAGGCCAATCTACCATCCTTCCTTAAGAACTTTTTAACTGACAGGCATTTCCGTGTTCGGGTTAATAATGTGCTCTCCCCGGACTTTATC